CACCTCAATTGACCCTAGTGGCTTGTGATTACCTTGCGTCTGCTACGCGAGCCCAAATCACGTCGCGTCTCCAGAATTACCCCACACGGAAAGCATAACTGGTTTAACGTTGCTTGCCCGTTTCAAGTAGACGATTGCCCGCGTCCACCCTTGTCCATTCCATTATGTTTCGGTCCCGAGTACGGGAGCTTATAGGACATAAGCTACCGAGCTGGGGTCCCGAGTCAAGTTTTATTCACATATAAAAGACATAACTAGCTGCCATAATCAAACCTCAGTCTGCAATAAAATACTTTCCTGCCCTGTACTCACTCTTGCTCTTACATTCTCCACTTGCCTGCCAGTCCAGATCTTGACAGTTTACCAGAAATCCCTCCCTTTAATCTGTTCTTCTGGATCCGTGTCTTCTTAGAGCACTGGTATTCTAAGGTAATACGACGACACCTAAACATGTCTGTACTTTCGTACTCGTAGGTTTTTGAATAGACAAAGTTCGTAGAGATACTGTGCTGATGCTGCTGCTTCCACTCGTCGAAAACATCAGAAGGTAGAAAAAACTCCATTATTCCCACATCAATAAGAGCAAGACGCGAGTCTGGATCAATGCAATAGCGTTTCGCAGCACGGAGAATGAAGATATCTTTACTCAACAACTCGCGTACGCCATTTAGCACTACGGCGTTGAGCTCCTCAGCGATGCGCCTCTTCAATGGCTATTGAAGACAGAGCAATTGACACAAGAACAATGTGTCAGTATCTTATAATGGATCCGACAGACAGATAGACAGTTGAACTGACGCTTACGGCACTGACCTCAATAGAAGAACCTTGGCTTTGGCTTTGGCTTTGGCTGCCGTCGCCGCCATCGATAACACCGTTGTTGTCACTCTGGTTTCTGCTCTCATCGTTACTTGTGGTGGCTACATGTAATCCCTGCGTATTGCAAGATACACTACCGAAAATAATGAGTAAATGTTTTGGTATAAGTGCCGATAAAATTTTATGCCTCGATGTCCAAGACCACTAGTGCTGTGCATGTTCGCCAGTAATATCATGGTCCATTCAGCATCGCGTGGAATGACTACCAGGTGTGTCTAATACAGCGAGCCATATATATCTCAAATTAAAAATTATGACGTCATTTACTCATTATTACCCCCATGCACTTTTGAACCTCGTTTTGCTCTTTCTTCTCCACTTCAGCTACCCACACACTCCTACTACCATAATATCGACTACCTTACGCCACGACTTTAAATCCTACATGAAGAAGCTCAATCATAACATTGAACAGGGGATCATTGCTGACCTCCGGTTGAAAATGATCACACGAGCCATTGCCAAGAGACGTGGAGTATCACAGGCCAAGGTCTCTCAGCTCGCGCAGACCATCAAGGAGACCCTTCCGCCGCGAAAATCCGGCCGCCCTGGGAAAGTATCCGAGGCAACCAAACGTTTGATGGTTCGAGAAATCACAAATGGTACACTTCAAACCGCTGTAGACGTGCAGGAACGGCTTAGTAGAGACTTTGCGACGGACTTGACGGCAGCAAGAGTTCGACAGATCTTGAGACAGGAGGGTCTGACCGCCGTGCGCAAACGGCGAAGGCCAAAACTTACCTCCAAGCACAAGGCGGAGCGCATGGATTTCGTGCGAAAGTACGAGCACTGGACAATCGATGGTTGGAAACGAGTCGTTTGGTCCGACGAGACTAAGGTCAACCGCATTGGGTCCGATGGAGTCCTGTGGGTCTGGAAAAAGGGAGGTGACAAGTCTCTGGACGATCGGCTTGTCCAGGAGGAGGTCAAGTTCGGCGGCGGTTCCATCATGCTATGGGGGTGCATGACCTGGCATGGTGCTGGATTCATTTCCAGGATCGAGGGGATCATGGACGCCAGTCTCTATGTCGAAATCCTGGAGGAATGTCTCCCACTCACCCAGCGCTGGTACAAGATCAAGCCTAAGGATATGATCTTTCAACAGGACAACGACTCGAAACACACTTCCAGCACTGCGATGAATTTCTTTAAGCAGCACAAGTACAATTTGTTATTCTGGCTGCCCAACTCTCCTGACCTAAATCCGATCGAGCACCTCTGGGACTACGCAAAACGCCAGTTAGGCGAGTACCCGGTGCCTCCGAAGGGCATGATCGAACTATGGGAAAGATTTCAGGCGGAGTGGAACAAGATTCCCCCTTCTGTCTGCCAAGGCTTGATTGAGAGTATGCTCAGAAGGATCGAAGCTGTTAAGAATGCCAAGGGAGGCCACACTAGGTACTAAGCAGGCCATCAGTAAACTTGATATCGAAGATGAATAAAAAAAAATAAAAACCATGTCCATGGGAGAAATAATGAGTAAATTGAACAGTTTAAACTTAATTCTGTATACAACGCGCAATAATTTTCTCCGCATCTCCCAAATGCTGTAGATTACTTTTCATTGCACTGGCATGTTATCCTGTAACTATCACCAGCTATATAACCCGGGTTCGGAAACAACTGACAAATGTGCTACAAAAGTGAAAATCATTTACTCATTATTTTCGGTAGTGTATACTGCGTATTAGCAACAGATATAGGCAGTCAGTACACAGCATAACACAGCCAAAAAGTGCGCGTACCAACTGCTGCAGGCCATCGGCTATCAGCCGCTCTATCAGATCACGCGTGGGCTGGTCGAGAACGGACAGAGGATCGTCCGCAGCGGGTTAATCAGAGAATGGGGACTCCATGGTCGATTCCATGGCACGAGAGAGATGTGAATGGGCGGAAATGAATGGTTGCTCGTGCTGAGGGTGGCAAAAGGAGGAGGGTAGGGCTGGTGGGATGGTGGTGAGAAGGAAGGGTGCAAAACGAGGACGCGAGGGACGCGATTGTCTGTTTATTGCAAGTAGAGGAAGATGCAGAGAGATCGGTCTAAAATGACGTATTAGAAGTGCATAGCCTTCAGAGGGTACCTAAGGGAACTCTGATATTACGCCTCTAAACCTTGTTAACGCCACAATCATATTTTACCTCTTGTCTTCCCAAAAAAATTGCCAACAATTTGTGAGCCCACCCACAGACGTACGAACCTGTCAACCATTTGCACTACGACACTCTTGTGTTGGGATAATTATCTCTTTTCGAAGACCACGCCTTATTTACTTGTACATGTGAGCTGCGTCAGTCATTTTTCGCTAAAGGATCAGTTGCTGATCTCGTCAAAGCTATTTTTGACTTTTTTGACCGATTCGCTGTTTGCTCTTCTGTTGCTGATCGCTTATGTTGCTTGAGTCGGTCCAGGAACTTGACATGTCGCTCCGGAAAGATCTATGGAAAGTTGTTGTCGTCAATGTTGATGGAGACTCGCTCAAGACCATCCAGCTCTGGTTCTGGATCAGGGCGAACAATCTGGAACTTGACGACCTCCGCGGGATAGGTGATGACCATGCTGACATAAGCTCCTGTAGGACAATAGTCTTGGAGTCTTGGCGGTTGTTGTGGTTGTGTCGACCCTGTTCGATCCACCTTTTTGTGTTCCTGAGCTAGATCTTTCACCAACTTCTCATGCTCCTTGTCCATCTTGCCCTGTATGGTGTTGCTACTGACAGTTGCGAGCGCCTTCTCAACGTCACTGCCCTCTAAGACCTGTCGTAACTTCAGCTATTGAAAAAAGACAAGAGGAAAAGAAAAAGGCAGTTGAGCAACAGAGCAAAGCAAAAGCAATTACTAATAAACATAAAAGACACTGCATTGACCTGTACGAACCTGTACGAAGACTGGGTAGACTTCTCCTCGAATCCTGATGTAAAACACAATATCAGGTCCAGAAGTATGAGGCTCCGGGAAGTAGAATGGAGGGATGTCCTGACCTTCTCGTTTGGATCCGTTCTTGATGTGTGCCTCCATGAAGGCGTGTGTTGTGATGTTGTTGTGCGAAATTGCGAGTTTCGATTGTTGATCGACGTATCCAACTATCGTCACATCGCCAACAAGTGATTCAGGAAGAGTATTGTTCGCGAGGAGAGGCCAAGAGGAGAGAGGGCGATTCTTGAACGTCTCGATGAAAACCGGGGGCATACAAGTCTCCCACATGTTGCCATGGACCGAGGCGTTGGTCGAGTGCAGCAATGCTCGTTCGGCATTGGCCAAGAGTAGAGGGTCGCTTTCGTGAAAAAATGCCTTGACGGCTTTGAGCATAAAAGGTTCGTCGAGAACGGTTCTTGCAACCCCTCCAAAGAGCTTGATTCGACCAAACGTTGCCTCAATGAGGTGCGCTTCGTTTTCGAGTACGATCTCCGTGGCGTCCAGTAGATTGTATCGGAAAAGAAACAGCGCAAGAGTGTTTCTGATAGAGGACACGTTCTTGAAAAGGTTTGGATGTTCAATCATTTTGCTCTCCAGTCTAGAATGAATGATACGAATAGAAACGAGCAAGTTAGTAGCTGCCTTCATGTTGTGATATCCAATGTTGTACATAGGCAAAAACCTTACCTTTTGAGTTCTCCACATAGGTTTCCTCGACGCTCTCGTTCTTTCCATGATGTGATCATGGTCTCGGTGATGTCGATTACATTTTCCCATGTGTCTGGCACTCCTGTCTTGATAATTCCTTCGATAGCTGGAATGAGAACCGCAGAATAGTTGTAAGTAAAAAATATCTGTAGTGAGTTTGAGATAATTTCAGCTTCCTTTCGTCCATAGTGCTCTAAAAAAAGCGTACCTGTTACGATGGGTCTGAACCTGCCGGTGAGTCTTTTGTGCAACATATCCACTGCGGCGGAGGGGAAAAGCGTGTCCACCTGTCTTTTCGACTCGTCATCTTGTAGATGTTCCTTGAGGCGGTCGACATACGCTTGTACTGAATCGACTCCTGTCCATCCTGGAAACTCGATATACGGAAGGTACTCGAACCGTACTCCTTGACGCCATCGCCGCTGCTCAGTGCCCAATGGAGAGTTTTCATGGACAACCCCGTCCCGCAATAGACGATCGTAAGCTCCTCAGGACTATCGGCGTTTCGAAAGCCATTCAGGACAGGGCTCAACATTGGTCGTGGATCGGTTTCCAGGTAAGAAGAACGGAATTTTGAACTCCCTTTGTCGCTCAGAATCTGGGCTTCGTCCACAACCAGCCTCAACTTGGACCCATCCGAGAAGTTCGGATATCGGTGACCAGTCAGCAGATCGCGCACCAACAAAAATTCGTCCTGAATGACACTTGTCAGGATCAACTCGAAAAGTGAACGTTCGTTCAGCTTCTTAAAGAGCGTCTTGAATAGGTCCAAGAAAACATCCATAAACATGTGAGGACAAACTTGGAGAATGGCCCAGCTTGCGCTTGAAAAGCTCTGACGGCAATTTAGGACCTGTAAACAGTATTTGAAGATCAACAGTCGGGACAGGAAAAGTACCAGGGTCATATTCCTTCCAAAAGCGGTGTTCTTTTCTGGGCCTTGTTCCTCCGCTGTTTTTTTGTCGATAAAATCAGCAAGCTGGCTGAGATCGCTTGACCCAGGATCACTCTTTGCTGCGTTGAAGTAGAATCCCCATTGCAAACAAAGCATCTCGACCATCGAACGAGTTTTCCCGCAGCCGCTGACCCCGAACACCGGGAGGTCCTGCGCTTGCATACCTTCCAGCGTGCTCAAAAGAACATTTGACTGAAATCGCTCCGGTATCGGATCGCCCACATTCAATGGAGGGCTTGGTAAATCCAGAAAAAGAAGACTTGGTCCTGAATCCTTGCTGTCAACAACGCCTCGCCGTAGGACTTTTGGCAGCCCTTTTATCCCAGTTGTAGTCACAGGGAGCGCCTTTTCACCGCGCACGTATGCATCCAGAAAGGCTGAGGCAGGAGATCCAGGAGCAAAGAATCGGTCCGCGATTTTTTTGATGTCAGCTCGGAGATCACCTAGTTATGCGAAAAGAGGGCAGGCTATGAGTCAGTTGAGTACAGAGCAGGATGCAAACAAAGAATGACAGGCACAGAGTAATCGTGCTTACCAGAGAGAGGGGAACTGGGACGAGAACCATCCGAGGGATAGCCAGGGAGTGGAGTCAATGAGCGAGAGGGGACAGGTGCATGGACTAAGAAGGATAGAGAGAGAAAATAAGTTAGCGAGGTGAATAAGCTCGCGATGGAAGCATCATTTAGCAAGACACGAAGCATCAATCAGCAAGACGCGTCTCATTACCTTTGGGAGGAGGGCGCTGGACGATGATGTGGATCGTCTTCTTGGGAGGTGTGTCGGTAAATACGTCAGCAATGTCGTCTGTCTCATCAAGCTCCTCTTTTGACGCGGCATCAGCAAGCAAGATTTCCTTGCGCTCGCTCTTAGGCACGATTGGGATGGAGACCCTCCAGAGAGTAAGATCCTTGGCTGTGATGTCGTCAAAATCAGGAGTCTGCTTGGCCTTGACGAGGTCTTTGAGATGGTCGACTGACTTTGTTGGGTCAATCTCGACAGAGAACGTGGTTTTGTCTCCATCAACAAGGCAGAACAAGTTCAAGGTGCTGGTAGTCATGATACTGCGAAGCATCAATGGAAAGAAGAGGAGGGGAAAAGTAATGGTTGTCTCAAGAGCGCTGTTGGGAAGGTGCGGGATGTAGAGAAAGCGAGGGATAAAAGAAAGAGAAAAGAAAGCGATTAAAAAGGAGCAGTAAGAGGAGATGGAAAGGCGTGAGAACGGTGGCAAAGACGATGAAAATGTGGAAATGGTGGCAAAAAGAAGGGTATGAAAAAGTAAGAACGAAGAAGGGTGTGGGAGCGGCAAGGGCAATGGAGGAGAGAAGGAGAATTAAGAGAGGAGGGTGACATGGCAAAGGGACGTGGGAGTGCACATGGGAGAGGACAGAGAAAGGGAAGGGAAGGGTGGGAATGTGTGGGTACGGTGGTGACAGCTGCCGCAGCAGGAAATTCGATGGCGTCTCAATTTGCGGCTTTGCGGCGTGCAGGCCCCTCTTTATCATCTCTTTACCCCGCCAATCATTGTCCATTGCCACCACACTCATCGTTGTCCATCTCTCTCTCTCTCTCTCTCTCTCTCTCTCTCTCTCTCTCTCTCTCTCTCTCTCTCTCTCTCTCTCTCTCTCTCTCTCTCTCTCTCTCTCTCTCTCTCTCTCTCTCTCTCTCTCTCTCTCTCTCTCCTCTCTCTCTCTCTCTCTCTCTCTCTCTCTCTCTCTCTCTCTCTCTCTCTCTCTCTCTCTCTCTCTCTCTCTCTCTCTCTCTCTCTCTCTCTCTCTCTCTCTCTCTCTCTCTCTCTCTCTCTCTCCTCCCTCATCCGAGACGCACTCCTCCTCGCATTCCCTTTGCCTTACTCATTCATCACCACACTGTTGTGTCATCTACGTCCAATCAACCCACTTTTCTCTTCAGTTGGTGGATATAATCAATCGCTATTTGCACTTGAAGGCAATTACCTCGTTATATTTGACCCTGGGACAAGTTGCCCATCCTTGGTTCCAGCAGCAGATTCACCTTGAGATGCTGTTGCGGAAATCCTTTGTGTACTGCCGAATTAGGAAGTGAATATCGCAGCGACGAGTTTCCTGCTTCATTACAACCCTACTCTTGTCCACACAGCCTGGGAGCCTTTCTCTTTCTCATTCACATTCGTCTGCGCTGCCATTTACTTCTACTTTAGTTGCATTCCATCCCCCGTCCTCGCACCCCATCATGGCTCTTGTGTTGCAAGGTAATGTACTCATTTCACTTATCGACCTTGTGGAAGTACTCTTTGTCATTGACGATCAGCCTGCTTTAGCTCCAGCGTGTTTAACGGAAAGGCAACTTTCCCTGGCATGCCGACCGGGGAGGTGATCGGGCAGGTTCTTGTTAAGGTCCATACTTTACCAGCGAAGGATGAACAGAGCCATCGTCTAGAAACGGCTGGCCTTCTTTAGCTCCGGCGTGTTTAACAGGAAGATGATCTTCCTCTGGCATGCTGACCGGGGAGGGAGCCGGACAATGCGTCCTTTGTTCGTTCTTCAGCTTTATAGTTATATATCAACGTTCGTTTCAAAGTGAGTGACAGCTAAAAGTTTCTTTTCTTACATTTTTACTTCTATGCTCCAAGCCCACGACAAAGAGTACATAGCATGGGCCAGTGAAGACATACGGGTCGATGGCAAGTTGATGGAGCATGTCTCATTCCAATCCTTCGTCAGGAAGTTTGGCTTCACCAGCAAGGAGGCAGCGATGTCTCAGTACGAGCAACTGCTGAACTCATCCAGACTGAGCAAGACGCGAAGGGAACGTCTGAGAGCCACTTATGATGACTTTGTGAAGACTCACCTGGATTCATTCTGGCTGGAATGGGATAGGGAGCTGGCAAACTACGAATTTGATGCTTCATGCGAGACTGTTGTGAAGAGAACGGCTACTCTAGCCCAGCAGGCGTCGCTTGCCATGTCTGCACGCGGATTTTCAGCCGTCCAAACCAACAGTACAGGACACAACGCCCGGGCAGACGCTGGTAGAGCTGTTTATTCATCCTCAATGAAGCTTTGACTGAATACCTCCCTTCGGTTGACTTATCTTCTCTATACTCTCTCTTTTGTAGCCGTTCATAAAGGAAACGATAGCGGGTCCAGCTCGAATGACGAGAATAATGGTATGCTTCTCTTTTAGTACTGTAGTCTATTTTGAAGAAAAATAATTCGCGCAATGACTTCATCTGGTCAATTTGATAACAACGTTGCACCCCATATCCCCATATAATAGACAACGCTGTAGCGGATGAAGAGACTGCTACCGCATCGTCGCGCTCAGACAGTCAAGCCCGCGGAGAACAGGAACCTTTGGGACAGCAGTCGGATGTTTGTCAGGAAAATAATGGGGCTTCGACACTGGATGACGACGTTCGGGAAGACCTTATTGATGAAGAGCTGTCGAATTTACTCGCACATATTGCCCAGGTGCAACATTCCGTTTGTGAGGTATGTGTTGGTTGTTCTATAAGACGATAAAGAAACGAGAGCGGGCATGTTATTGAATGTTTTTATTAATTTTACTTTCATAGTGGCGATCCAAGGATGATGACGCCTGTATTGCTTGTCTTTTCCAGCAGTATCAAAGAGAATGTGTCCAGGCGTTGCACAATGACAGGCTGCACAATGCTGATATCGCGGATGCCATGTAAGTTTCCTACCACGCACGTAGCTTATCTTATGGCCGTCGTAATTACGATTATTGACAACAGCGTGGGTACCAAACTAGGGCTATCATTGGGGTGTTTGCGCCTTTTCTACAAACACAGAGAATGCGAGCTGTTTTCAGCAGGAAAATTCTCAGCCAGTTGGTGGCATCATCAGCTCTACCTGACCCTGATGTCGATGACGCAGCTGTGCTCAAGGCCATCCGCGTACGTGGATTGTTTCACCCATGGCAAATGTTTTAATATTGCATACTCTTTCTAACTTGACTTTTCGTCTGCTCGTCACCTATCAGCTACGTATCAACAACAGACGCGAGGATGCCTCCCAAGCACTTGGATGCATGGACAGGAAGCTACGAATCATGTTCGACAACCTGTAAGTGTATCTGCCGATGTACTCTTTGCTTAATATGAAGTCATTGTATACTCATATGCACCTAATGCTTATTGGACTTAGGCTCGAGTTCCTCCCTGAAGTAGTGGACAGATCCATATCTGAGGTCACCTTCACTGTGAATTATGTAGCCCCAGTGCTGAACTGCATTCTCAAGATTGACGGAAAAACCGACGTGCAGTAGTAAGGAAGTCTCTGTGTGTATGTCAATCTTATCGTTGGAATCACTCAGGAGCGATTACCCATCTACGTGCAATTATCTCGGTATGACCTTAGCCCCAACACAGATTGTCATGTACAGAAGCACCAGGGCTCGAAACCTGACCGACCAGACATTCTTGTGAAGGCACATGGCCACGAGATCCTCTACGGTGAAATAACTGGGCCATGCAGAGCGAATTGCCGGTCTAAAACAAACTGGGACTTATTTCGTCTTGCGAGGTTTGGTAAAGCTTTCTTAGACCGAGGGAACCACGTAGCGCCTCTTCTCCAAGTGGTCCATGATACCGGAACCGTAATGAGGCTGTCCATGAAGATACGAGGGATTTATATCCTTGAAAGGATTGGTCTGTTCTCTGTGCCATGCTCAATTGCCACAGTTCCTGCACTCCTTGCCACCTTGCCACCCCTACTTGCTGCGAAGGTACTACATGTTGTATTGAGTGTTAAGTGTAGCGTCGCCGTCATGGCATCTTGTCAATCGCATTACTTACCACGCTGTACCATTTTTTGTAGGAGGATGTTGACATGCTTGCTGAGCATGAGTTTGATGCGAACCGGAAGAGATCCTGGCGATTTGATGACATCCTTGATGCTCGAAAGAGAATCAAGTGAACTGGACTCAGGCGTATTGCAATTTGCATTCAAATAAATCTCCACTCAATTTCTTCCTTCTTCACGTCTAAAATAATACTTTGCTTTTCATTTGGACCCATGGATATTTCCATCATTTACCATCCATCTTTTCTGCCTTTCACCTACTAAGTCAAATTGTAAATGCATCGTTTTCTCCCTTTACTCTGTTCCTGTAGTACATACCTTACCATATGGCACCAAACGTGTGTGCTACACAAGCCAATGCCTTGCGCCACCATTTTCTCACTGACCGTCATCTCCTTCCGCGTCCTGGTAGACGAGCCCATTCAAAGGCAAACTAACAGTCTTCCAAATGAACCGCCCTTAAGCCACGCTCACAGAAAAGAAAAAGATAGAGAGGAGATGCTGTTCTTTCGAACAAATCTATAGAACAATGGGCTTAATCTCAGCCGATCGTAGCAACAAGGCTACTCTACAGCTTACAATACCCCGTTCAATAAAAGTCGTCTGCAATGGATTTATCTCTTCCAATATTTGAAATTGACATTCAGAGGCACCACATCAGACCTTTCCGTCCAACATGATGACGTCTCTCAAAACATGGTTCAGGAGCCGGAGCTCTATTCGTACAAGATTCGCTCCGAGTCGAATCGTGTACAACCAATTGCTAGCGAGGACATGGATGCAATCAATCAGCTTGAGATCAGTATCCGCCAGCTACCGTATAAAGATCCCATGCCAATCGATCTCCTCTTGAACTACCCAGAAGAACAGGAGGTAGCCAATGTGCCATCAATTGCCGAGCTTATACAGACCGGGCAGGACGAAGAAGAAGAGGAGGCGGAAATCGTATTGGAGTCGAAGCTCACACCTGCGCAGGTCGTGGATATGATGGATGAAGTGGCATTGTTCTGGATGTTGTCTGATCGTGACTCTCGAGAACAAATCGCAATGGCCAACAAGCTAAGTGACGCAGCGAGGGATTTGAAAATTCTTTCACTCGTTCAGTCAACCTTGGATGACTATGTGAAGAACTAGGTCACGCTTCGTAAAATAAAACTCCCCATAGCGTCGGGACCGTAAAGGGGTTTATTTTATATTTTATCCAGGTTTTATTTTAGCGCATATGGGCTTCATAGGTCCCGACGGTCGGGACCGTCAGAGTGTTTCAATTCATCCAATGTTTTATTTTATCCAGCTTTATTTTATCAAAAGTTGACTGTAGTTGGTGGAGGCAGTTTGTTTGCTCTCATGCGAGCATGCACTGCATGGCCTAGTCTGGACCGTCGGGATTGGATACACTTTATTTGTTTGTGGTTCTGCGTCCACACACCTTGAACCCTATTTGGGGAAATTTGCCCGCGGAATGTTGAGGATAAACTGCCATCTTGGAGAAGCGGGTCGATCAGGTATTCGATCGGCGCATCAATCAGGCCGACGGAGATCTATTGTCTAGCGCACGCATCTACTGCACATTGCTTGGGCATCCGCCAATGCATTGGTCTATGGACATGTACCTCTCATACCTGGACAAGCCCTGCCACACGTGATCCAAATCGGGCACAAATGATTTCTCAGCCACCCGAGGCACTCCGAGTCATCACTGTTCTGTCCTCCGGTCAGGAGCACTGCCCGATCGATGTCACCCTTCGACCTCTCTCCTCCCCCTCCCCTCAGTCGAGAACTCATCCAACTTGCCGAGTCCCGACACGTAGTCGATCATCACTCCCTGCTCGCAAGAGATCCTTCGAGGTGCAGACAACAAAGCTACGGACGCTACCAACCAGGGAGGTTTCCTTAATCACGATGGTCTCACCTCTGGAACTAAGCCCCTTACTTCCTTTTACCTTGCACTGTAGTTGACGGGATCTGTAACCAGCATCATTGGAGGAAAGACCGCACAACACAAAGTGGGCTACGGTTACAGAAGAGTCTTGCTTCCACCATATGTGAACATTATCAAGGCGATGGGTTCGGTTTACTAACGCTACTATCGCTTTGGCAACCCCTTGCGTATTGTCTTGACGTGTTAAACAATCCTTAGAACGATGAAGCCGGAAAAGATCGCCTTCAAAGAGCTCAGGACTCTTCAGCAGCCGGTAAAAACCATGCAAATTTTTGAGGTGCATATCCTCATCTGCCATCTCTAATCGAAAGCCATACGATCTACGGCTCGATAAAACTCACGTTCTGTCGCTCTTTCATTTTTCGTGGCGTCCAAGTGATAGCTTGAATGGGCATATAGTCCGCAAGGAACATCAGTACAGAGAGTGCAAAGATCTCCTTGTCGATTTCAGACTAGACAAGAGGCGATTCCAAGGCAACTTGTTGGAAAAAGGTATAGAATGAACACCAGCTCTTTTCTTGTCAACGATGGGATCGTTCCATCCAGTCTATTTTACCATGTCGGAGGCTTGTACCTAATCGTGTTCACCTTTTATTCCCTTCAGGGATTTACTACTAGTTCAACACAAAGGAGAAAACCATCAAGCTGCCAATGGCCAACATGTCCCTACAGAATCGAATGGAGAGGTAGGAGAATGTTACGCAAGTAGATTGTCTCCATTGTCGCCATCCCGTGCTACTAATTGTCGAAATCGGCCACTGGATATCGCGTGAAGTATAACACCGATGCGAGCAACAGCGGCGATTATGACAACACGTTGCCTCGAGGACTGCTGCCTCGCCCGCAAGACACATATGACTGACATGAGGACGACCCGGCCGATAAGATGGTCCGTGGCAAGGACAATGATGAAGACGAGGAACCATTGGGTTCGTAATTCATCTTGCCAAGCGCTCACACCATTTTCCGGAATAGTATCCTCAACATCGACGTCCTCATCAACTATTCATTGCAAAGCAAGAGATTGTGAGACACCGTCGGGAGGACCTCGCCTCTAGTGCACAAAATCCTCTTCAACGGAGATCAAAGTCTTCAATCAACGGTATGTATAAGAGAAAGAAAAATTAAAACTAAGAATCGAATGAGGAGTTACAGTTATTGGAACGACTTGACTAATCCATGACAGCTTTCAGTCCGGTTCCATGGATAGTTCACCCTAAAGACGGCGGAAGCAGCACTTTAGAACTACGATCGTCATCCTCAACATCATCAATAACCGCCGCAACATCTAGAGTCGACCACTCTCTCAACTCATAAGCGAGCTCTCATCAAATCAAGGATCAGACGTATCTTCGCCACACAGCGGTTCGGACTGAGAGCAATATCGCCAAAATGACGATGACAACCCATTCCGGGTTCAGAAGGATCCTTGCGGGACACAGGATGGTGATGTGGAGAGCAACTGTACCAACAACGGAAGCGCAAACTTCAAAGGCAAAGGGAAGTGAGAACTCTTTACATGTCGACAGTATTAGCTCGGCTCGAGGTCGCATCGTGTCAATGTAAGTTTAACCTGCAGAGCCATTTCTGTTCGCTCGTATACATGCGTGCTACCAAAGCCTTTAGGGACATTGGTCAATGGTGTAGTAGCTGATGGATGTGGTATATCTATCTCTCTCCGTCTATCTTTCTCTATCAATGTAGACAGAAAGTTGGGAATACTACACTTCATTCCCTCTTGCACATCTCCCTCTCCGTGGAGAGTTCGTTTCTTACCTTGGGAACGAAACTTGGACGAACAGCATCTTCACCAGAGATGACAGAATGGGATGTGAGACTTATTGAAAGATTAGGATCCAATCTTTGGCCATAAAGCCAAGGACATGTCATCACCGTCGATCATTTTGGAAGATCTGTACAAGAAGCTGGAGTTGTACACGCTGGGGAGAGGATTCATGTTGTTTTGTTTGTTTCACAACGGCTTCATGCACAGAAGGGAAAGTGCGCACCGGCACAGACTACAATCATTGCTGTTTCGTCAAGTAGTTTTGTCACGAATAAAGCAACCACAAGGAAGGACACAGGGAAGGACACAGGGATTAATGTTGAACCACGCCACTTTTTCGCTCCAAGTGGCTCATCTATTGTCTTGACAGCGTGCCCCATTGGTCTTGACTTGCAACAGAATGAAGCAGAACTCGATCGAACTTCAGTATATAGCGGTTCAGTTGAAGTCGCTGAACGATGGTTATAATCGAGGATCGGACGTTGAGAAAAGAACAGAAGCGTTTATTGCGATTGTAAGGGACAATATGAGCGAAAATGGAATTATGGCCAAAATTAATGCATTAATGAATGACAGGATCGTTTCAAACGCCAGTGCCTAATCATGTTCACCTCTTATTCCCTGTGGGGATCTACTGTATATGTAAGATGAGCCCCGTGTTGAAAGACATTGAAGGATGAAGGAAACCGAGGACGTGAAGGGCGTGAGATGTTGCGTGCGTGCTGTGCATGTGTAGTCATCAATTCGACACGTATCTCTCACCTCTCGGATAGTGCTCTCGGCCTCACTCCACCGGTAACAGTCACAGCACTTTAAATCCTCTTCCCTCTTGCCCTCCTCCTTTCCTTTCGAACCCTTCGTCTCCTACAATCAACTTTCACCGCTTCACACACAGCCTTTTCATTCAGAGGCTACACTACTCAGGCTTGGCTCTCGTCTGACAGTCAGCCTTCCTCGCTTCATTTTGAGGTCTCAAAACTTCCCACACTCGGGACTTGTCGCACACTTTTTCACTCTGAGAACACTCAGAATCTCCCAGGCTTCACCTGGGCTTCACTAACAATCCACTCGAGAACCATCCCAGGACTACCGGGTTGTTCAAGGGCCACTCGAGAACCACTCGAGAACTACTTGAGAACCACTTGAAGACCACTTGGGGATCACTCAGGGACAACTTAGAGACCACCGGGAAGCGTTGTGTACGCTGAACGAAAGAACCGATGTGGACAAGGATGGCTTGCCCCTCCCGCGCATCGATCTTATTGGAGTAGGCTTGGCCTCTTGGTATTGGTAGCGGCATCGTTAACATAGTCAACGTGCAAGGATCATGGCGACTGGTGTGGTTGGTATCCGAGTCTTGAATAAGCGACCGGACCAGTTCATATTCGAGCTCATCATCACCAAGTGTTTAGCCAAGGAGCTCTTGAGAGTTGCCTTAGTTAATGTATCTGTAGAGGCTAGATGTTGATCGAGATCCATTTATTGAGAGTACCGGGAATCAATGTGGAATGGGGAATGGGGAAAACACGAAAGGTAAAGGTACTCGCTGCGCTAGTTATAACACTGCGTTCGCGGGGGAGGGGGAGGGAGGTGTTCTAATCTCTTTGCAAGAAATCAAAGTGGATCTAGGTTGTTTATCTTGTCATGATGCCTCTGCACCTCATCCATATCCGTCTTCTCTGCAGGCGCCGCTGCAGGATGTTTGGGTTCAATAGGCAGCGACAGGTTACCAGTACTAGCTCGGAAGCAAAATGTCATAGCTGCCTGACATCCCACACCAGAACTCATGCCCCATTTCTTGGTATCAATCGCAGCAGCAGCAACCACAGTTGTGAATAGGTACCCTTGGCCATCATCGCCTACAACACGCCAGGTGTATGCCTTGGAGAAAGCAAAAGCTTTGGTATCACCGACCGTCAGTTGTGCAAGCTTTGTCACGGCATTGACAATCGATGATCTCTTGCTTGTAAGGACATCCGGGATCTCCAGCACAGAGTTGACCATCGCTTGAATCGCTTCGTAGTTAATTCCACTCGTGTACGACATATTCGAGTACTTCTTGGAGAAGATAAGGTCTGGGTCATTAGGCTTTGGCAATTCCTGATTGAATTCGCTTTTGTACACGGTCGTTCTGAATGTAGCGAGCGATGCGTTGATTTTGTTGAGCGACTCAACGGCACCCTCAATATTGGCGGTTTCTTCCTCGATCTTACTAGAGTTTCCTCCCATGCTGAACGCGTAGGTGTAGTAACGGAGATCAGATATGTTAGTGACAAGAGTAGATTATCAATGCAGGACATGAATGTCGTTAGGCTGTCAGAAGAGCAGAGAGTAACTGCTACTTACTTGTTTTTAGAGTGGAGTGGTGGAGGATTCGTGTGAAGGCTCTTGTGGAAGGTGTTGGGTGTGTTGGAGAGTTGGTTTGGAAACATGAAATGTGACGTCTTTATATACCTGTCGCAGACCAGCTCTTGGCTCGTTTTGTTTGTTATTGCATCCTTCAACACCATCCCAAGATCACTGAAGCCGAAAAACGATCAGGTAACGATATCTCTGGAGGGATGTGTAACAAGGCGCTACATCTGCAAATACCCCGTCCAGACCGAGGCCCTTGTCCAGACCAACAAATCAGGAAACATCGTTTAGGGGGAACCTATCAGCAGTCCCCCGAGGGGATGAACAAACATTTGCGATCTAGTCCTCGGAAACCTCCTCGGAGTCTTCTAATCTTCCTCAGAAGCTTTGGGATTATCCCGTCCAGACCGAGGCCCTTGACCAGACCAACAAATCAGGAAACATCGTTTAGGGGAACCTATCAGCGGTCCATGCCCTTTCCTCCCAACTCAATTGCTTCCGCCATTGAACTGCTGAGATAGTGATTGTCGACACGGGTGTCAAGATTCAATCTCTCCATCTCATTATTCAGGGTTAAAGCATTCTTTTGGACTTTGACAATGTGATGACCAGGGTTATCAGAGTATGGGGACAGTATGTAACGAGTAGGGAAGAGGGGGAGGGGAGAGGGGGGTTGAATCTTGACACCTGTGATCTGGAGGGGTGCCTAGACCCTGTTTGACAAGGCCCTGTGAAAACCCTAAATTCGCTAAGCCAAAATTCTGAGGAGGTTTTCGAGGACCTGGTCGCCATCGGCGCTGGAGGTTGGTCTGGAATCATTTCATTGTCACGCCTGCTTTCCGTCAACGTCCCAGCTCAGGGGCGACGCTGAAAAGAGTCTGTAACAGGTATTTAACATCTCAGGTCTCACACTTGACTCCCTTACTCGACCAGTTCTTCTTCAAGGTTCAAACACACTACATTACTCAAAGATCCTCCTCGCGAGCCCTTACACGAATCCTCCTCCATTCCACGAACAAAGAACGTCCGAAACGACGCTCACATATCCTACCTGAATCTCTTTCACTTGAGAAGTAAGTGGCAGTTACTCTCTGCTCGTCTAATAGGTTCGACAACGTTCACGTCCAACTCTAGTCACTGACGGACCTTATCATCACCACTAGACTTGTGTGCTCATCATGGGAAACCAAAGCAGTACAATCGTGAGACAGGTTGCTGATGTTGATGGTGCAGCTGAGGAGCTCCACCGACTCAGCGAGGCTCTCGCTAAGTACAGAGTATCTGTATACAAGAGTGAATTCGGTGTCGATCTGCCGAAGCCGAACGACCCTGACCTTGTTGCATTCAACGTGTACGCGAATATGTCACGTCAGACGGAGATCGACTCGGCCAAGATCCTTGCGATGGTAAACTCGGTGCTGGTGATTCCACCCGTCCTTACAAATCAGAAACAGGAGATTGTCACAACTGTAGCAACACTTGCAGATTCGACGTTAGCGGGAGCAGCGTCCATTGCCTTCTCAAAGTCATACACCTGGCGTGTTATAGGAAATGATGACCACGGTTACCTGTTCACAGCTGTGGTTGCTTCAACTAAGGTCGATAATCCGAAATGGAGAATACCAGGTGGTGTCTCATGTCAAACGGCCATGACGGTTTGCTACAGGGCTGGTATTTCGAAGAATGGAACGGCGCCCTTGGAGAGTCTTGTGCAGCTGAACGTAGCCGCAGTAGGGATTCAAGCCGAGTCGGATACGTTTGATTTTCTCTCGCAGCACTTGGGCTCGCTAAATAGACTGGATGCTCCGCCAGTGCAGAAACCCTTGCATGAGATTTTAGAGTTATGATCTCCCACAATGATGTTGAGCGCGTTAGAGGCTGAAGAAAATAAATCGTACGCGATAGATGGTCTGAGGCATGAGTTTCATGTGTTTATTCTCGAGGTACATCTGCTTCCATGTTCTTGTCAATCCACACTCTCGTCAATCGACACTCTTGTTCAATCCACTGTAACAGGTTTGCTTGAGAAGAGCAAGACTTGGGTTGTCTTCCATTTGAGATCATTGGTCTTCTATGGTTGGTTTACTTGGCAATAAAGAGAATGTTTCGCTGAGTGTCGGCATCATGGTCGTTATCTGCCGTGTCTTGGAGAGATCGAGTGATTCAGTTTGGGATGACATTGGCTGATCACTGTCACTCTCTCTAAAAGGGCACCGGTTCGGAAAGGTATGGTGCTCGGTGGGACATGTCACGAATTAAGGTTGAGGACAGACTTGCGCTCACCTCAATTGACCCTAGTGGCTTGTGATTACCTTGCGTCTGCTACGCGAGCCCAAATCACGTCGCGTCTCCAGAATTACCCCACACGGAAAGCATAACTGGTTTAACGTTGCTTGCCCGTTTCAAGTAGACGATTGCCCGCGTCCACCCTTGTCCATTCCATTATGTTTCGGTCCCGAGTACGGGAGCTTATAGGACATAAGCTACCGAGCTGGGGTCCCGAGTCAAGTTTTATTCACATATAAAAGACATAACTAGCTGCCATAATCAAACCTCAGTCTGCAATAAAATACTTTCCTGCCCTGTACTCACTCTTGCTCTTACATCCTCCACTTGCCTGCCAGTCCAGATCTTGACAGGACAGCACTGTGCGTTGGTCATCTACAGTTCGCAGAATGCCTTTGGAGCGAGTGTAGCCAGCCTATTTGATATAGAAACGAGGTGAGCCGTCGGGAGGATTTCATGCCTCGAGGTGCGTCAAACTTCGTACTCGGCTTGATAGTACTCCTCACTCTCGGGCACAAGTGCGTCTTAGTCAGTGGCAATGTCTTCACCAGTGACTTTGGACTAATCCTTATCGCGCGAGTGACGTGGAATCCGAGAGATCTAGTTTGTAATCCAAAGAGCCGGGTCAAGCTAGGAAGCGATCCCTTAGAGCGAGGTGCCGTAAGCGGGAGAAGATCAGGGAGTTGACAATGATGGCTTTTAGCTCATCGATCCATTGGGCGTTGGGTGTGCTAGACAAGGGGAAGCCTAGGAAGGACTTGAGTGATTGGTCTTGGCATGGAAGTTGTCCCTCATCTGTTTGATTATCTCAGGAAAAAAAAAAGAAAAGAAAGGATAGCCGTTTGCGTTCTAGAGTCAGCTGCAAGTTTGAGCTCGTCCCGTGGGATGCATCGTCATCCACGTGCAGCCGTCATGGAGATGAGGGGAGGCAAGATTCAAGAGTTCCATCGATCGCTGTCCTTTAATCCGTTCCCTGACAGTTTCTTTTTTCCGCGGGGCGCAAATTTAACCCTCGAACTTCCGCGGGACGGAATAACTGATATTGGCTATCATGAGGACGTGGTCAGGAATGGTTGCACAGTATGCTGCCATTTCCCCAAATAGGGTTCAAGGCGTGTGAATGGATGGATGCAGAACCACAAGTGAATCTCAAACCCGACGATCCAGACAAGATCTAGGCCATGCAGTGCAGCAGCTCTATCTCCTATCGGACCCCCAACTCTCCCCCAACTCCCCGCGGATTTTCTCTCCCTGAAAGCCTCCCTTTGCCATGGCCCAAATCTGTTCAAGACGGTAGTAGAGTCTGGAACAGCAGCCCTTGTCCCCAGGGACGATATGCCCATCAGAACAGTATATAAAGGCCTCCTCCCATGGCTACATCCAACCTCACAACCTCTCTACCACACCACACACTTGCAGTCAAGGCAGATCCTAAAGCATCACTCATTCGGCTTCAACAACTCTCACTCTCATGAATACCGCAGAACAGTAAGTCGTTGTACATGGGGTGGTTAGCTCTGGTTCTCATTCCTCCTTCAACTTTGCCCAAAATCGACTGACCCCTGCTTCCTTTTTTCTTTTTCTTTCTTGGATCGTGCCTTGGACGGCATGTGCAGGTTACGGCAAATGACCGCCAAGGTAGAAACCTTAGAGAACACTGTCAGGATACTTGAAGAGACGAATGCTAGACAAGGAGACACCATCTCGGACTTGATTGCCACTAGGGATTCTCTCAAGAAGCAGTTGGATGAAGCCCTCAGACAGCTTCGTCCTGCGGGTCCGCCATCTGGTCAAAGATAGTTGACCCAGGAGAAGGGCCTTTCGTTCACATCACGGAGAGCCAGTGTCATCAAACACTAAAATAAAAAGCGTTCAAATGGTCTCGCGCGCTCACTCTAGATCACTCTTACAACGCGGCCAATGGTAATGTTACCACATTGACTAGACACAACACCGGGATCGTGAGCCACGGGGTACGGCAGACTCTATACAAAGTAAAGAACCCCAACTCGACCCGCCCATGTCTGAGACCAACGACTATCCGACTCCAGCTCTCTGTTGCCTTACAAATGTCACACGCGCATGCTCAATTCGACCAAACGACCGACAGACAGACTAACAGATTGACTGGATGGTTGGGTTGTGTATGGTGTACGTCCTGGGTGGACAGGCCATCGATTGACGATACTTTAACACTCTGATCATTGTAGCCGCTGCTTCGTCACAGGCAACTGTCCGACTCCTCAACGAATTGGCACAACAGGCGTGCGACGTTACTTGTGATGCTTGTCACGATGTGTCTGAAGTGTGGTTGCCATGCTCCTGCCAGCTTTTTAGGTACTAAATCGCGGTAGATAGAGCTTGTTGTCCATATTGCTTCTGGATCGAACCTCCTGTACCCGTTGTCCTCTACAGGCCATGCAATCGTGCGTCTCAGGGCTGTGTGACAGGCTTCCAGGGAAGGGCCATATCATTTTGCTTCCGTTGGGACTGGTATGCTACGTTTCTTTTCCCAGTTTATTGAATTGGTTGACAATGCTTTGGTTGTCTTGTGAATGTGGTGCACCTTCCATTGATTTCCTGTCAACAACAGATTTGGTCGATCCGGCTTCCGGCTACATTGGGAGGTAGAGAATCACACCAGAACTGTCAGTCATTACATCCTTGGCCATTATGATTAAAGTCTTTGCTAATACACGTGAACAAGCGGGCAGAAACGTCCTTCCAGGACAAACTTACATCGACGCAATGAAGACGGTTGCGACCTCAAGTTGAGCTAGCACTCTCGGACGGCAGAGTGGTCTCTCTTCCCATTGCCTTTGAGATTGTTTTCGTGCTTTTGTTGTCTGTATGGCTACTGGTTCCACCATCACTCTGCACTGTCTCCTTTGCAAAGGTACTTCTGAATTCAGAAATGAGTTGTCATCATTTTTGTTGCCAAAAGTAATTTCATTCTGAATTACTGTGTGGCGAAGGTGCGTTCCAGATCGATCCGATTCCTCTCATTTGATGAGAGTTCACTTATGAATCAGGGAGATATGGCTCACATCCTGTGTGGTGTTTGCGTTATTAATGCTGAGGATGATGACCGTAATGCCTTTGCCAATTCTGGAGTGAACTATCCATGGGGCCATATTGGAAGTTACCATGGGTTAGTCGTGTCTTTTCAATGATTGCAACATCTCATCCAATTTCCTAGTTCAGCTCTTATACGTACCATTGTCTGCGGCCGTCGATACTCCTTTGAAGCAGATATTGTGCACGAGCTGTGAGATCCTCGAGACGGTGTTTCACAGAGTCTTGATAACCCAGAGGATGACATAGATACTGATGATAATGCTCCGGTGAATAGCGCACGTGCTTAGTGAGATGGGTTGTGGGCCAATGACTCTCATCCTCGTTGGCGTCCTTGCCATGGGTCGTATACTTATCGGCCGAGCCATTCTCATCCCACCATATGTATCCTGAGGCTGGGGCAACGAGCCTCGAGGTAAAACGTTATCATGATTGCAGCTGTTGTTCGCATCCTTGGCACCATGCTTCGCACGATGGATTCAATGTCTTGCAGCGACCATCATCTTCAGTGTGTGCGCACCGAGTGAAACTAGTGTCTATTAAGGAAGCGGTGGCAGACTACCTCTATCAACTGCAGGCGCAACGATCGTCTGGTCAACCGTTATCGGACCCCCTGATTTTGCAACAACGCCAGCACATTGCTTAGGGGATGTGCGCCCGCTCCTTTCCGACTTCTTCACCGAACCACCAAGACGAGGCGGCGACGCCACAACTCTTATTGCGCGCCACCAACACCGCACCCACATCTCCATCTCTCAATCATCCGTAATCGATCCAACAGCCATCCATTTGAACCATCTCCATCTCTCGATCGAATGATTACCACCAGGACGAAGCTGCGCCACCAACTCTGTATTCACTGTGCTCGCGCCCACACAACCGCGAGACGTTTCAAGACACCTCATTAGAAGCAGAGGAGGATGGAGCTTCAGAGGATCCCGTGTGGTGGAAATAAAGTACTGCACTGAACGTACAAATTTTCAGCGAGCGACTACGGCTGGTTTGGCAATAAGCAATTTATTCCCGGGAAACAGTGAATCTGTACACAACACACATGAGTAGCTGCCAGTGTTACTAAATAATGCTCAGATCAATCGTTTTTTTGCATCCTGAATATCTCTGAAACCCCATGAGCGCTTCCGATTACTGGGTTCCCCAGAGCACCTTTTCAAATCAGCCTACATTATGAAATGGGCTGACAGCGATTAATTTTGAATAAAATACATGATATAATTTATCTCCAAAGTGAAACATACCTGAGCAACAAGAAGCGTCGGGAGGGTGGCAAGGAGTGCAGGAATCATTGAGACCATGGTGGGAATCACGAACGATCCGACTTCCTGCAAGAGGTACATACCTCTCGCTCCCACTGTAAGTCGCATGTATGTGGCATTGAAGAACACTACTTGGACAAGTGGGGCGACCTCAAATCCATCGTCCAAGAAAGCCTTGCCGAACCGCGCAAGGCGAAAAAGATCTCAATTGTTTTTCCAAGTATTGTGTTCCTGAGACAAACCGGTGACCTCTCCGTACAGAATCTCACGGTTTCGCGCTTTGACAACAATGTCAGGTCTATCGGGCTTTAGACCTTGATGTTTTTGTACTTCGGAGCAGGTATTCGGGCTAAAATATGGCACATTAAGGATGAAAGAGAGAATTTCAAAACAAAATAAGAACATGCTGGGCAACATTACGAGATCTACTCACAAGTGAACAGAGTAAATTCGAGGGTCCAGTTTCAGAGTCTCATGAAGAACAGGTGATACGTAGTTCACTACAAATGTCGATTCAGAGATGGACCTGTCCTGCTTCATAGGCAACCGCTCAAACCTAAGGAGTGATTAATGAAAGATGAAACAGATTAGGGCACCCGACAAACAAGCGAACCCCACTTGCTTCAGAGTACCAGAGTGAAGACAACCTACAATGTTTCAATCATATTCCGTGTTTGCCTGTCCAATTCGCGTAGTGCTTCGCTGGCTTCTTCCTGCCTGTAGTTTATCCAAAGCTAGAGTGATGCAAGATTGTGAGAAATGGTTAGTAATTTTGTTACAGAAACATAGAGTAAACCCACGTATTGCATAAATATGGGTAGTGCGGATTCATTAGATTAGACATACGCGCACAGCTGTCAAGATCGCCGTGTCATCAAGAACCAGGTCAGGCAAGATCATAGGAACGATAAGTTCTTCCAGCATGGTTCTTCCTATAGTCGCAATCATTCTTTCCGTGGGGAGAAAAGGTGCGAATATCCCTATGATAGCCCTATATTAAAAAAAAATTAAGCAATTAATGATCACCAAGGAGGCACGGCTACGGTTGCAAGCGCATTGATACTCACATGATGTCTGCGATTTCGGACTTTTTTATATTCCTTTCAACCAGAGCTCCCACGCAAGTCTTTTGGTAAAGAACACGCCACGCAAATGCCATCGATTTTCCACTATGACACATTAATAAGACAGTGAAGATTAACACCCGAGACTCATTTGACCGCATAGTTCACCGCAACCTGGTGCACTAACCTCACAAATAGCATGCGAGGCTTGTTCGATATGAGCCAATAGCTCCGCCCGCTCATTTTCGTCAATGACATTGACATGCTCTTCTGCTGCTTCTGTTGAGGAAGATGATGAAACTTCAGGTGGTGTTGTTGCTGGACCCAACGTCGACGCAATCGTTACTGCTGTTGAGGAAGAAGACGAGACTACCGGCAATGGTGTCACTTGACCCGATGTCGACGCAGCTGTTGCTGCTGGTTCAGGAGGATCCCACAAAGTGGGGGCTTGAGCATCCTCATTCGCAGTAAGATGCGACGGTGATGCCTTGTCTGCAGTGGGAGAAGTTGCGTCTTGTTCATCCATGGGGACAGAAGGCTATCGCATCAGTGAGTTAGAGCACCTGTAAGACGCGATATTTAGGACCATTGTGTTTTCAAATTATGAAATTACATACCTGTCCTCGTCTCTGCATCGGTCGCTTCCTCTTCCGGTTTAACGATAACGACAAAGGTGCCGAGGACGACTCTCCTGCTGGAAGAGATACTGAAAGTGAAATAAGTCTTAGATGACACGGCATGGTAGAGTGAAAACAAGCAAGCATATTGGAACTCACCATTCCTCAGCATGTGAGTCATTTCAGTCTCATTATCACGCAATTGAGCCTTGCTTGTTTCCATCATGTCCAATTTCCGACCAACCAGCACCTTGTTGAGCAAGCATTTTGAAACGGCCTGTGCTAGCTTGTGTTGCTTTCGAGCCAAGCCAACAAGAACCCTGTGTTTGCTACCTAGAAAAGTGGCCATCCATCCGTTCCATTCGGCGACAATAGCCTTCTGATTACTCGCGTCCATATCCCGACTCTCAAAATAGCCCGCTGGTTGCGCCAGAAGAACATCCTCAAGTTCCAGGAAATATGTAGCCCCTTGCGACTACTATTGATCAACTCGACCCAAAGACGGTCCTTTGATTTTCCAGTCCGAGAGGTCATCTAGGTTGTAATGCAAAGCAGTGTAGTGATGTACAAAGGTCAGAAAGTAGCCATGTTGAATTTGATTTCGCTATGTTCATTCAATCACACCCAAAGTTCTAAAAATAAACATTGCGAATAGACATGTGATGTCCATTGGAGAAAC